CGGCTCAGGTAATGGTCCCAGGGTCCTGGGATGGAGCTGCGCATCTGGCTCCCTGCTCCGTGGGAAGCCTGCTGCTCCCTCTCACTCCCCCTGCTTGTGTCCCCTCTCTCGCTGTGTCTCTCTGTCAAATAAATAAATAAAATCTTAAAAAAAAAAAAAAAAAAAAAAAAAAGCTTGTCCACAGGAGCAGGAATTGGGAAAGAAAGAATTTAAGATGGGACAGAGATTTGCATTCTGTATCTTTGGTCTCATGAACTTTTTATAATGAGCATGCACTGCTTTTATCAATCAAAAGAAAGACCAGCAAACAACCCAAAGGATCAGGCCACAAGCAGAATGTCAAGGGCGTGTTTAAGGGACACGTCACAGAAGACTAGGGCCTCACACACACCATTATATAATGGAGGTGGGGGCACAAGGAGAAAAACTGTGAAGGATACACAGTGTGATGGATAAAACCAGGCTGGGCGGTGGGTCTAGTCTGCGTGGCTGTGAGACCTCTGGAGGAGTCAACCATGTGGAGATCTGTGAGAAGATGAGCTTGGCCTAAAGACACCCTCTCCAGTCCTGAGGAAAAGTTGGGGTGTCTGAGTAAGGGGGGCACGCAGATCAGGCCTGACCTTTTCAGACACTGTCGCTATTCAGATGTTACTCTCAGGGCACCAGAAACCACCGGAGGGCGTCATGCCTTTCCCACCTCACAATAGGCCAATTGAGAGACTACCTAAGAAAGTTCTCAGACACACTTTGCCGTGCTTGTAGAAGACTGGTGGGATTTCATTTTATCCATCTCTCAACTCTTGGCCTCTCAATTTTAAAATAAAGAGAACGATCTTTAAAAAAAAAAAAAAAGGGCGCCTGGGTGGCTCAGTTGTTAAGCGTCTGCCTTCGGCTCAGGTCATGATCCCAGGGTCCTGGGATCGAGTCCCGCATCAGGCTCCCTGCTCTGAGGGAAGCCTGCTTCTCGCTCTCCCACTCCCCCTGCTTGTGTTCCTGCTCTCGCTGTCTCTCTGTCAAATAAATAAATAAAATCTTTAAAAATAATAATAATAATAAATAAAAAAATAAAGAGAACTATGTATATTTTATCATTTTTAAGGGACAAGAGTTCATGCTAAAATCAAATATATTCTTTGTAAAATCACCACATTCAAAAAGAAAATCACCCCTTCCAAAAAAAATTTTCTAATTCTTAAATCTATTGATTCACTAAATTTTTGAGTGAGCTTTTTCTGAGATCTTAGTTTGGAGTACTTTTTTTTATTTAATGGAACTATGTCTCTTAGGAAAGGTTTTCTTTCCCCCAAGAATGTTTCAAGTAAGTCTTCATTTCCCACAGAACATGTATTGAGTGACTAAAAATTAACTTGCACTCATTCAAACCTCAAAAAAGAGTCAGAATGATTTAGGAAAATGCATTCTAACAAAGACATTAATAATGTCAAAACCCTGAGTTTTGAAACAGAACTTCTGTTCTCTTTCTAGATGTATTAAAATAGACTTTAAGGTTTGTTCGTAACATGATTGCCATTTTCCATGCTGCCTGCCGATTATAAACAGAACCAATTTTAAAACCAAACTAGGGCTCTCTCTGCAATATTCAAGATGTATTTACCATCTGGTTTTATATCAGCATTTTTAACAGGTCCAAAATCTATATTACCAAGTACTATCAGAAATGGTTTATATCTCTTTAAAAGCACACATTCTTTTCAAAACACTTTCAAGTTACAAACTTTGAAAGTTCACTTAATTTTTCAGACTACATCAGACATGTGAATGTCAACCATAGTTACATACACAACTGGTTTATCACAGACAACTCAGTTATACTGACCAAAGCTAGTTTTGTCATTAGGTCTCTTAAGAATTACTAATCTGAGAAAACACAGCATACCTGATTACCTGGAAGCTTACAGAAGGTGGAAGGGTGACAGGCTTTATCTGCAATGTACATCCTATGTAAAGAATATGAACCTTTCCAGCTGACTGAGAAAAGCAGCTTCCCTAAAACTTACACAGTCCATCACCCTCATTTCAAAACACAAAGAAAGACAACAGCATTTTTTTTAGAAGATGTTCAGCAAAAATCAGCATCCATGGTAAAATGGAAAATGACAGGTAAGGAGATGAAGAGAGAATTCCACCGGACCCCAGCAGGTGCAGCTCCAAGACGCTGCCCTTAGCAAGAGAATGGCCATAAGGATTTCAGATGGTCTCAAAAGTTCTTCAATTGTTTGTAAAAATACATGTACTCTAAGCCTGGTATCTAAATAAACCTTTAGATCAAACTTATCTTTTTCTAATAAATATTTTCTTTCCACCTAACAAGAAGGAAGGAAGGAAGGAAAGAAGGAAAGAAAGATTTTTTAAAATCTCTCTCAGTTCATTCATTCAACTATCTTGCACACGGATTCCATGCAAGGATGGATGCTCCTCCGTCCCCGCAGAGTCTACCATCCAGCAGTGGCAAGATGTAATGATCAATATGATCTTCTTCTCATTACCATGATTATCAGCCTCTGCCAACACACAACACGCGCGCACACCCACACACACACGCGCACCCACCCACACACACACACAGACACAATGCAAAGACCTCTCTACTATCTCAAAGCATCACAGGTAGTAATTCAACGGCAATTCTCTTTAAAAAAAAGACTAACTGGTCCAACCTGACCATTTCGTTGGATGGCACAGGGTTTCACCAAGCCAGCCTATCCCATTTCATCCCACATCTCTGTCAACCACCTCCCTGGAGAATAAGACTGGGGTGGGGGGGGAATCCTTGTGACAATTTTTAAAAAATATATTTATAGCCATTTCCAAAGCATACCATTTTCCTTTAGATATTAAACATAACTTCAAAGTCAGCTTATATTGCCTAATCCTCATTTCTTTCCTTTCAAAACTATGAAAAAGATTGCATGAAAGCCTGCCAATATGTAAATGACACTTTAAAAAGGGTTTTAAATATTTCATATTACAAATACATTTAGGAACCTAAAGGGTAACCGGGACGACCCTAAACAACACAACCAGAGACCACCACAAAGGTTTAAAACAAAATACAAATACACACACACACACACAATAAAGCTACTCCATAGTTAAAGTAGGGGAAAACAGAACTCCTACATTTTTTGGTTTAACTTGAAACCAACTTGGGAACAAATTGTATTACAGAAAATAACACAGATCGTGATATTATAAGCCAATGCCAACATTTTATAGGCAAGAATTTAGAGGATTTATTTTTTTAGAGGATTTAAATCAAATACTAAAGGGGTAAAATCATTTTAAGAGAAAGAAAACCCTTTTCACAAAGCAACATTCTAATTCCATACACATTATGCAACAGGCTTTTCCTATTAAAGGAAATGGAACAAAATTTTCAAGATAACCCAACTATCAGGCATAACATATGAAACCAACATTTCCTCATCATTTTTCCCTATTATGAGATTAAGTACATCAAATGTAGAATTATTCTCCCAAAGGAAAGACTTGTTCAGTATTTCTTCACATTTGCGTCCTCATTCAAACACCCACATGATAAAATCATAACAGCTCTATTAGACACACGGACATGTCTGAATAACTATTATTCTGTTGGTAAATCACCACCCCTCATCCCATTCCTCTTTCTTTACATATGTAAATGATGGTGACCGATCCAGAGCCCACCACCAGCCACCACAACCGAATTACCCTCCAGGGACATCAATCGGATTTGTTATTCTTGTTTCAGCTTAAAGAAAAGGAGGCAAGAGGAAGGAAGAGCTATTTTCAGGCATCAGAATTCTCTTGATTAGATTTCTGGCTCATTGGTAAATGTTTATACTCTGAAATGCATTACCCTCTGCTTCTAAATGTTTGGGTTTTTTCTAGAGCCACGATATGGTACAGTGTTTCCAATATAAATTGTGTCAAGTAATATATGCCCAGTTTTGCAGGGAGCATTTGGTCAAATTCTAATAGTCCCTCTTGGGAGCCAACACCAACTTCCAGGAGCAGGTCTAACTGTGCAGAATAGAATTTTAAACACACACAGTAGTATCTTCCAGCAGACACAGCCCTTTCTTCTCCCACTCTGAGGGATGTCACATGAGACATCTTGCATGATACTTATCACTAAGAATATAGATCTTTCTGGTAAGGTAATAAATTAATCACAAAATGCCCAAAATACATTCCTCTTTACCCCAGCATAAAAAAACAAAACAAAACAAAAAAAACACGGTGGTTTCTACCGCGGTTGAGATGAAGCTTAATGTCCTCGCTTAAGCTTAGAAACCATCTCACGATTAATAAGAATAAATAGCACATGCACATTTCTTTAGGCTGCAAATGAGAAAATGCATGTCAGAGGGCTTTCTAACACCCAAACAGGATTATCCCTGGGCAGAAAGTAGATTATCCATAGGCACAAAGTGTTCAGTTATCTTAGCTTTTCTTGATTAATAAATGCTTTTGTTTCCCTTGCCACTGAAAACTCGACAGAGGACCCTCCCATTCCTCTTTCATTAAAATGTGCACATGATTTTCATCCAAACCTTACACAGATATAATCGGAGGGGGTGGCGGGGGGGGGGTGGATGTACTGCAGTATTGCACTCAGCTGGTTGCATTAGGCTCAAAATACAGATCTTAAGGATATAGATTTGTCACATGTCAGCCCAAGCTGAAGGCATCCACCAAGAGAATATTTCCCCTATTCAGCTGGCAGCCAGAATCTCCTTCCACAAACCCGCATACTGATGAGACGCAAGGCTCCCAGGATCCCTCTCCGTTTCTTCTTAACCCACCTCTCCCCTCTGCAGAGGAGAGAAGCCATTTTACTAATTTATAAGTACCCTGACTCTCCCACCATCTTAAAAAAAAAAAAAATTCTCATCAATAATAGTCAACTAAAAGCAAAAGCGCATCCCACAGGAGTCAGAGAATAAAACAGACAACAGCAACGCATATCGACCGGCAGGACTCCAGATACTTACTGAAGGCAGCCACAGCCAGGGCCAGTGTGACAATAATGGAGAACCAGGAGACCCACAATGCCTTCTTTCTGTAGTTCTGGGCCTCGTGAGGCTTCAGGCGAGTGCTGCTTTCTAGCAAGCCTGACAAAAACAAGGAGAAAAGGAAGTTAGACATTTCCTTATTGAGAAACCCACAGCCAGAGCTACACGTTCTTATCCAAGGACTGCAAACTGACAGCCCATGGGCCAAGATGTGTTTTGTTTGGCCCACACTGTGTTTTAACAATTAGGAGAATTCAGACTTTCTGGCATCTCTTGCAAATTCAGAGGCTCCGGCAACAGAGGGCACGTATGCCAGAGGGTAACAGCAGTCGTACTCTCTAGAAAGACCCCACAGACCCACTCACTGGACCGGGACCGGTCAGCCCCTGCCCCGGTATGAACTCAGCTATGTAGGTGTTGCTCTAACAAGCCCCTTCCGTTAGGAAAGCGGTACAATGAGCCCACATTCAGCTGGGCATTCAGGCTCCTCAGCTTACAGGCATTGATTTGCATTGATCCCACCAGCAGTGACCACAACTTGGTGAAAGAGGCTTCGCCCAAAGCAATGAGTCATGAAAGCAAATACCCTCATTGCTCCCGTCAACAATTAACGGGAAGAGGACGACTTCTCTTCAATCACAACCAACAATAGCCACCAGGTCTCAATTATAGGCCCTGTTTTCTTCCCTCCTCTTTCTGCTCTATATTTATATATGTATCACTTTGTACCATTCATATGGCAAACAGTTCTCAGATTATTCAAGTGGGGTAAAACTGGGGGTAGCTTTCTGGGCAGGCCATGTGTGAGAAACATTTGATTTTTGCCTCCAATGCTTTCAACATTGAGGGTCCCTGACACCAACTGAAATTCATGAGGTCTCAGAGGCAATGGCCGAGCTCCATCTGCCTTGGGTGGAGGATCAGAACATCTTCAGCATGACCCTGATTCCTATTTTTTCTTCTCCTTTGAAAATAGATCATAGACAGCGTCTCTCAGTTACATGAAGGACCAAATTTTCATGCATTCTCTATCGACAGGAGCTTATGACCCTATCTCGGGCTAAACATACCTTTCAGAGTTGAAGCAGCTTCATCACGACAGCTCCAGATGGTGAAGAAATTGGTAGTCAAAGCTCAGGCACCCACTTGTAAAATACCACACAGCATGCAACATATCACACCCGGCACATCATGCAAAAGACATCATCCCATTTGACCAACTGGGCACCACGCTCAGCCTCTGGCCGCTGAAAACTACATCCTCTTCCAAAATGATTAAAGACCCTGGTAAAACTTCTCCATTCCATTGGAATTCAATTAAAATTCCATTCATACTACCCAGACTCAAGCACCCTCAACAAGTCCTCAAGGAAGCAAGAGGAAACGTCAAGGAAGGGGCTTTGTGAACCCAGTCTATAGCCCAGAGGTTTTTAAATAATCAAAACCTGTAGACCTGCATGGGATCAGAAGGTAGAGGAGAGTGCAAAAGGTAGGTCTACACACATCTCCATCACCTCACTATAAAAATCTCCTCAAAACTTCCTCAATAAATGCACTTGGATGAAAAAAGAGAAACCTCCTCTCTTGTCAAATTCTGCCTTTGGTACACATGATTTCCAATTAAAATCCCTTCGTCTGTTTTTGTCCCTTTGTCTACTTTTTCCCTAGCCACCAAACAACACCCCATTCTAATTTTCAATGACAATCACCTTTGTCTCCTGTTCAAGTCAACCTAGAAAGAGCAGGTCCCACTCTCCCCCAATCATTTGTTTTCTTTTTCCCAAATGATATAAAACTCTTCCTTTTCATTCTGGCCAATTGATTTTTAGGAGAAGTGAAGCTGTAGCAGGTAAGTACTGACTCAAATAAGCAGTTCATTTGCTGCGTATTTTGACAGCAACAATCTCAAGAGGTTTATCCACTGGGGGTAAAACCAGGTTCCTTTCAGAAGCAGATTTAATTTTCTAAGAGAAAGGACAATGATCTAGGTTTTTCATTCTGCCACATGACATTTATTTTTCCTTCCAAAGCCAGCTGTTCATAGCACTAGGACTGGTCCTGACCACACACCCCACCGCATGCCTCACCCCACAGTGGACCAGCACACTCATGAAGGAGTTTGGGGTGTCCGCTCCCATGGGCTGGACTGCCCTGCTAAGAGGATACCTGAGTCCTCTAAGCAGCAGAACTGGTGGTTCTTACCCAGATCCGAGTGTGAGTGTGTGTGAGTGAGAGAGAGAAAGAGAAAGAGAAAGAGAGAGAGAGAGAGAGAGAGAGAGAGAGTGTGTGTGTGTGTGTGTGTCCGTCCCATGGGAGGTTTTGAATTTTAAAAACTGGAGTAAATTTAATGCAAAGACCATCCATGAAGACAGGAACTTTCCCGTATCTGTCCAACCTTTGCTTATTTCCTACTGGTTTTCCTTTCTAAAACTCTAGCCGATACCAGGAATGGAAAACACCCCTCTCCTCCAAGGGGCGGACGACAGACCCATAAATGAATGGCCCACATATAGGTGCCTCTACCTCTGCCTCCATGTTGGCTGCATGCATACTCATACGCAATGCACAGAATTCCTCAAGTTTTCAGGAAGCTGTGCTTCAGGAGTAGAAGGTAGGCCAGCCCAGAGAAGCTACGGAAGGCCACACATTTGCATGTAGGGCTGTGTCCCTTCCTCAACATAGCTGGCCTCCACCTTCAGATTTCTAATTTCACTCAAATTCCATCTATTTGTAATCTGGGCCTACCATTAGGAAGCATAAGGGTTGTATGAATGAAAGACTGATAACTCATTGTTTGGGTAGAGGGGGAAATGCAAATATATGTGGTTAAGATGAAGCCATCCATCATTTCCATTCTAGTATGAATTAGTTCTAATTGCTTTCTCCTAATTGCCACACTTGGATTTTCTGAAGGAAGGGGAATATTTATTATTAGATAGGAAGGTAGTAAGAAATGTAGAAGCATGTAATACCCTAAGCCGACTTGGGGCTTGGGGCAGAATGATGGGAAAACACTTGGGTAGAAAAGAGTAGATATTAAAAGGGAAGAGGTGGAAACACCCAAGACAAGCTTGGCCTATTTGGGGAGTGTTAATCCCTAAAAGTCTTAGACCACAGGACTCTTGCTCCCTGATTACAAGGCTCAGCCAAATGGCACTCCATTATCAGCTAGCTAGGTTTCTGGGAAGCAGCCCACATCACTTCTAAGGGGAAAATGCCTCTAAAGTCCTAAAACACTAGATTATAAGGCAAGCCTTTGATGGGAGTTAGACGCAGTCTGTAACCAGCTCTAATGGCTCAAAAGGAAGTGAGGACAAGAAAGATGGCCAAATATAGACACACATCCAGGGCACCGACCCCCCACACACCCTATAGGTATTTAGGCCTAGAAAAAAAGCAAGCCAGGCATGATGGAGAGATGCACAGCAGGCAACTGCTTTAGCTTCTTCCTCCCCAAATCCTCTCACCATTAGGAAAAAGGTAGCTGCAATCGAACCGTTCCCAAGGGATTCAAAAATCGATACTGGAAAGACGCAGCCCCATAAGAAAAAAAATAACACAAACACAAAATATTGTAATAAACCTCCCCAGGTAACCTGATCTACTTAACAAAAACGATTCATTCATCATTAACTCTTTGCTGTCAGCAATAGGTCAAACAAAAGAATGTCACACTGACTTTCAGCTTTCCATGCCACACGGCGCTGGGTTCTTTGGAGGACAGGGTTCATGCTAACAGAGAGGCTGTGTGTGATATGCGGCGCTTTCAGTTCAGCCCGTCGCTGAACTGACAGTTCATGAACAGTGAATGCTTTCATGCTATCATATAATGGAAAATGAAATTCAGTTGACCAATGAAAGATAACCCTAAGAATTAATTCAGAAGGGCTTTTTACACTTGAGCATGAAGCTACAAAATGATGCTAAATATTAACTCCCCCTAGCACTTTCTTCCCTCCTACCATTTTGTGGGGTGGGGAGAAATAGGCCAGCTTTGACAAATGACCTGCAATGCTACAAAAATAAGCTCAAACCCAGAGTTCTGTCTTTCTTCAATACAAAATTCTTAAATCCTACAGTATCAGTTGCAGAGGAAAAGGTAATTCACAGGACCTATAATAAAACTGATCGGTTTTGTGGGGTGCTTACGCCGCCACCCATCATCAGCTCCATAACAGTATCTAGTTATGTTGAAATAGAAGGAGAAACTGCAACACAGGTTCAGAACTCGTTGCAACTGGAGGAGCTCCAGTTCCCCCTGAGCAATCCCCGCTGATTCTCCGGGATTGCTGTTTCCATGTCATTCTATTTCACATGCTACAGTTTAAAATTTCTAGGAGGAAAGAGATCGTGCATGCTAACACTAAACCGGAATAAAAATGTACAGGAGATACTAAGAATAGGACCGAAAACCTGCTAAGACTAAAATATAAAAATCCGCCACAGCCAACAAAATAAGGCTTCCAAGAAAAGGGGGTGGAGCGGCGATGAGCCGGCTCCCCCTGAAGGGCCTGGCTGCAAGAATCCTGCTTCGGCCACTAACCGGCTTCAGCCCAAACACTGAGTCTTTTTGAGGGGGCCGATCTGAATTTAGATTCAGAAAGCAGCAGCAAAGGTATAGACGTGGCCAAGAACACGGCTCCCTCCAAGCCAAAAGGAAACGAGGCAGGGAGGGAAAGAGGGATGTAGGAGGAGAGAGGCACGAGAATGGAACCACAGAGTCTCTCCCGTTTCATGCGGGCATCTCAAAGAGGGCATCGCCTGTTTGTCGGAAGGTAGGGGTTGGCCTGCCAGGAAAGGGACGTTCGAGGGGTTCCAGGCCAGTGTCTTGGGAGGGATTCTGAGGGGGCTGGAGACGTGCTCCCCGGGGACCATCAGGTTTCAGCGGCATCCATTCAGAGGAGGTTGGTGGTCCAAACCCAAGTGCTCCAGTCCTCTGCCCCCATCACCAAACAGCGGGGCAGCGACCCATGGTAAACTGGGCCCCCCGTAAATGAGGGTCGGGGGCCGCCCGACTTCCCTCGCCGGGGCCACCACCAACCGACTCCGAGAGGCTAAACCCGCAGAAGGAAGTTCTCCCGGGGAGGCGCCGGGGGTCCGAGGGGGCTTGGAAGCAGGACGCACTGAGCTTGGGTTCCTCCGAGCTGAGCAGGGCCCGCACTCCCCCGGAGCGCTGGGCTCCAAAAGCAAAAAACGCCTCCCGCAAACTTTTCCACTGGGCGCCGGAGGGCCGGAGCTGGCCAAGACGAGAGCACGGGCCGGTGCGGGGTCGGCCGGGACGCTGCCGGGTTCTCGCGCTCCGGGGAAGGAAGGACCTCGGGAGGTGGGGCTGCCGCGCTCGGCTCTGCACGCCGTCGCCGGCAAGTCCGGGCCCCGCGCCCCAGGGGCCCCGAGACGCCGAGCCCCGCCAACCTGCAAGGGAGGACAGGCGGACCGGGAGCCGCGGCTCCTCACCGAGCCGGCCGGCCGGGGGAAGGACCGCGCCGGGGAAGCGGGCGGGGCGGCGGCGCTCACCTCGATCCTCCAGCCCGTCGCTGAACTGGCCGCTCTCGCTGATGCGCAGCTGCCGCTCCTCCTCGGGCTTGGGCGGCTCGCGAGCTGCGTTGCTCAGCGGGCCCGGGCCGGGAGCGGCGGCCAAGGGCGCGTGGCCCCGGGGCGGCGCCGGGACCGCGGGGCCCGGGGGGCTGCGGCGCTCGCTGCCCGCGGCCGGCTGCATGGCGCGGGGCTGCGGTTACCGGCGGCGGCGACGAGCGCGGCGGGGACTTGAGTCAGAAGTGCGAGGCGCCGCGGCTCGCAGGGGCAGAGGGACGGACGGAGCGCTGGAAGAGGGAGGGGGGGAGGGTGCCGAGGAGCCGAGGGGCGCCGGCAGCCGGCTGGGCGGGGGTGTCGAAGAGCTGCACGGCTCGCGCGGCGGGTGGCAGAGGCTGGGTCCGCGCTGCCGCCGCCGCGCTCCGCCCACGGGGGCAGGTGCGGGCGGCAGGGACCCGCCCCAAGGCCCCGGCGCCCGAGCCCGCGCCGCGAGGCCGGCGGGGAGGTAGGAGGGCTCCGGCCGAGCCGGACGCCGGGAGGCTCGCGGGACCTGGGGGCCGCCTGACGAGGGTGTGACTGGAGACCTGCCCCCGCCGCGCCGCGGGATCGGGTCCGGAGGCGACGCGCCCCGACCCGATTTCTGCCGTCGGGAAGGCAGTGGCCGCGCTCGGGCAGGGGGGCGGGCAGCGCCCTAATTTAACATCTTTCTCCTCCGGGGCTGCGCTGGCTTCAGAGGCTGTGCAGGGTCTCCACCTGGGCTAGCAGCCTCACCGCCCATCCCGGGCAAATGAGGTTCACCTGTCGCCAAGCCCGCCCGTCTCCCCCTTCTAGGAGCTTTGATTCCCCTCCTGATTTTTCTCTCTAGCACCAACTTAAGGGGACCGGATAACCTTGGAACCACTGGGACCTCTAGATGTTTGGACGCCAAGGTTCCCCCATTGCGACTACCCCTCGGCCTTTGTCCCAGCCAGTCCCCTGCCAGCTCGCTACTTCCCCTCTGAGTATCCAAATGTTGGCATTTCTTCAGGACTCGGACGGAAGCCTCCCTCCTAGGAGAAGCCTCCCCTGGCTGTCCGGGAGCAGCCGACTGTCCCTGCTTTGACCGCGTCGAAGCTCGTACCCTTGCGCGGTGGGGCTAGTCGGGCAAAGAGAGGCAACCACCTAGTCCACGCCAGGGCCCACGCCCGCTCTCTCGCAGCTCCCGGAGGTGCACAGGCGGGGGGGACCCGCCGTTTATCAGATTAAGCTTGAATTTAACGGTATCAACATCCAAACTCCAGAGTTTAGATTTCACCTTTAGATGGATATCTGTCTTCAAATTTAATGAGCCCCTTAAAATGCCAGTCCCTCACTTAAAGCCCGCCTACTTTATTGGGGGGAGCACCCTTCTTTGAAGAGTAACTACTTTCTCATTCTCACTTTGCCTATGACTAAATTCAGAGCCTTAAATGCCTTTGGGGTGCAATGGACACGAATGATGGGAAGAAGTTCTCATTTTATTTTGTGTTGTCGAATTGGGCTGAGAAGATCTTAGTTGACCTTGGCCAACTCACTTTACCTTATTGATCACTAATTTAACTACAAACGCAAAGAGTTGGAGGACTAGGTCATTTCAAATGCCCCTTCTTGCTAGGGAAAGAGGGAGAAAGGGAAGTAAGAAAAAATAAAGAGAAAGAAAATCACTACAATTATTTGAATAGAACAATGAAAATTGCTACCCACCAGTCCTGATTCTGTCCTAGGAGGTAGACAGTCCTTCAGATATTGCAGACCCCTTCCCCTACCCCCTTGCTCTCTCTCACCCAGGCTTTTTTCCTCCACGTTATCCCAATTGATTCCTCTGTCAATGGCTCAAACATTAGAATCACCTGGGGACCTTAAGGACAAAAATACCCAGGGCTCTGCCCCTGCTAGAAATCTTATATCATAGATGATGAAATTGATCTGGTCTGGGACCTTGGCTCGGGTATTTTTTTAAGCTCCCTTCCTATTCTAAGAATCATTTGGGAAGTTATTTGTTTAAATGCTGATTATTTACAGCTCTTCAAGATTCTGACTCAGTAGATTCTGGGGTCTGGCTAGGAATCTTCATTTGAATATCACACACACATACACACATACATATTCTGACGTAGATTGTTCCAGGAGCACATTTGTAGTCCTCACGACTTAACTGCCCTCTACAATGTGGACTGTCTAGCTCCGCCCCTGCATGCATGCACACATCCGCTCTCTGTCTGTCCGTCTGTCTCTCTTCCCCCCACCCAAGGTTTGTGGTTCTCTCAAAGGAGCAAGTATCATTGTTCTTTCCTCTGGTCCCTCGATTGATTCTCTACTCCAGCCCATCTGAAATGTGAATATGCAGATGCACCCCCGGGGCTTCTTGTTAAAATGCAGATTCTAACTCGGCAGGTCTGGGATAGAGGCGGAGAGTTCTTACAAACTTCCAGGTGCTGCTGAGTTGCTGATCTGAAGACCACACGTGAAGAAGTAAGGATCTAGGAGTTACTTATTATTCATGGAATAAATATATTTACCTTCAAGTTCCAGCTGCCCTAGTTCAGTAAGTCATTCTTGTCTCCTCCAGAAAGACTTCTCTGACTCCAGCTCCCCCTGGGCTTTCCTTTTTGTGAACTCTGTTTAATAATTCACTGCTTATTTTTTCATGTGTGAGGCAGGGTGCTTGTGTGATCCCCGTTTTCACTCACCCACATCTACCTGGATGCCCAGGACACAGCGTTTCCCCAAACAATCTCTGCTGATTGGGAGGTAACATTATCTTCCATTCTTGGAGGACATACCATGTGCCAGGCACCTTGCTAACTTTTACATGCATTGTCTTCGTCACTCAACGAGGACTATCCTCATTTTACAAAGGAAGAAATCCGGGCAAGTCTCCTGTTTAAACTCTGACATCACAGCCCACCGTGGTACGCCCCCTAGGGGATATTTATGAAACTTGCAGGTGCTTTAATTTGTTATCCCAAGGATGGGAGGAGTTGGCCACTGGCATTTAGTGGGGGAGGGTCAGGGATAAGGGAGGTCCTGCCCTGCACAGAAATTTGCCACCCAATGAAGACTGTTTGTGTCCCACATGGCTTTTATATGTCAGGTTGGACATCTGGGTTAATTAAAATGTGCTTCTAATTACATTAGGATCCTAACTCTGTTTTACATGTAAACACAAACTATTTTACACCACACTGGATTTTCTGTAAATGCAACCACATAAGTCCAGGATAGATTGCTCTTTGTTCACTGTTTTGGAAAATCAGGACACTGAAGCCAGTTCCACTCATGGCATCTGAGTCAGCAATCAACACATCTTTGCCTGTCAAATGTTTAACTGCCACAGGCCCAGTAATTCCATACGTGTATATGAAGATTCGTATTTAGCTCTTCTTTCAAAATGTCAAAAATAAAGGGCCAATAATATTCCAGAGTCTTGTCTTCTCTTAAATTATAAGTTTCTAAACCTGATTACTTCTTTTCGACTTCTGAGGTGATTCTAACTAAGCATTTATAAAGGCAAATACGTACTAGGTATTTTTGGCTTTACTTTTACCCCCCCCCCTTCATTGTAATTCAGTCATTATATTGATGTTTTTGTGTGTAGTTATTAGCTATGAAATCCATTTCATGATCATAATAGTGAATACGAAATAACTGTTCTAAAAAGGCAGACTTAACTGTCACAGCCAAGAGGAGCCTAAGAAGACACAACATCTAAATGTAACGTGGTGGTCTGGAAGGCGTCCCAGAACAGCAAAATAACATTAGGTAAAAATTAAGGATATCTGACTAAAGCATGGACTTTAGTTAGTTATAATGTGTCAACGTTGGTTCATTAGTTGTAGCCAATGTGCCACACTAATGTAAGATAATAGGGGAAACTGGGGACGCCTGGGTGGCTCAGTCGGTTAAACCTCTGCCTTCAGCTCTGGTCATGATCCCAGGGTCCTGGGATGGAGTCCTGCATCGGGCATCCCTGCTGCTCCCCCTGCTTGTACTCTCTCTCTCTGACAAATAAATAAATAAAATCTTAAAAAGAAATAATAGGGGAAACTGGGGGCAGCATTTATGGGAACTCTCTGTACCATCTTCTCAGGTTTTCTGCAAATCTAAAACTGTCCTAAAAAATAAATTCTACCAAAAAAAAAAAAAAAAAGGTAAAACAAAGCGGCAGGAGGATAGGGGGAAATGGGAAGGCTTGAGTCTGGGAGGTAGACATCCTAACCCTGAACTATGAATGCCCACGGCAGAATACAGACCATGGAAAGACAAAATGCATGAGGTAACTTGGAAACTTGAATATGGTCATCAAAGGAGCAATGTTCACCAACAATGGTAAGAAAGACAGAATATGACAAGCATTAAACTAATAATCTAATTTTAAGCCTATTCCACTGGCTTTTACCACGACGTATTTTTAGTAGATATAAGGATTTAAGAAGTTTTGGAAATTTCATGAAATCCCAAATTTTCAAATTATCGGGCTTCCACTGGGACATTTTAGAAAGGCACATTTGGGTAAGAGTATGTAGACATATAACTTGACTGGTGAAAGATAAGAAGTTGAGTGATGCCTTTTTTTTTACTCTTACCTGTTCCTTTTTACATTTTTAGTAAATTTAGATCCCTAATCCTAGAAATATATATAGGTAAGAGAAGAAAAGCCAAGAAGCTAAAAGAAACAAATCAGGCAAGAAGAGCCTCAGATGGCCTAAAACTCACAGTGACTCCTGCTGGAGCTGCCTGCTGAGGGTCGCGAGTCCTAGGAACACCCCCACTATGGGTCCACTTAATCCTACCAATCCTAAAAGCAGGGATTATCAGCATCCCCATCTTAAACATAAGGAAACTGAAGCTCAGGATAAAAACCACTGCCAACGACCCCAGTAATGGAGCTCCCAGGACAGTGCTCTTAACCACGACACTGCAAGGCCACTACGGAAGAATCTAAAGAGGACCCAGAGGATGGTTTCTACACCTGGCTACCCCACATCATATTTTAGATTAAGGTCTACTTGTTTTATTTTATTATGCCTATAGACATTGGAAACCCAACTATCAGCATATTATTCATCTTTTTCAAGTCTTGGAGAAATATACCATGGCACTTAGCGCTACCATGCCTTGCAGTAAACTGTCCCATGATGGGGTATCTAAACTGAGTGTCAAAGTCAACGCAGAACAGCATCTGTATAGAAGGGCCCTGAGATCTTCCCTTGGCAA